AAACTCTGTGCCGCGCTAAATAAATATATACATTTATTTCATTGAATTGTATATATTTATTTAGCTCGGCACATGATTGTTATACATGTTTTAGATATTTTGTATTTATCTTGAGTGCCTAGTAGCCCTTATTTGCACTTATTTACTGGCGCTGATCACATATTGTTTTTATATCTCTATAAAACCTTTGTTATAGAAATAATCCTTCAATAAAGGGGCACCCATGACATCACAAAATACTAAAGGCATTGTAATGTTTTTTTGTTTTTTTTGTATGGAATGTGGAAGGGTTACCCAATTTATATGCTGGATGTGTCCCCACTGGGCAGTTTGGTCCCTTATTTGTCCTAGGAGCCATGGTTACATGCAGGCTGTCCCTATAGCAGGGCTGTAACTACCATGGGGCGAGTGAGGCATTCGCCTCAGGCGCCCCCTTGCCCCTGTTGCCATGGCGAGCACAGGGCGCCATTGGCAACTGGGGCGCCAGGCGGCCAACGCAGCCGTGGCTCTGCAGGGAGAAGAGGAGGGGCACAGGCTCCAGCTTCTCCTCGGAACCTCGCTGCTCTCCCCCACCTGTATGGGCAGAGGACTCTGTGTCTTCAATTTCTTTTTCTATTTCAAAAGGTAAATGTCAAGGGTCTGCTTAGACTCCTGATATTTCCCCGAAGCCCCCCAACAGTAACCCCCCCCCCTCCACACACACACACACTCATGCACACATATTAATAGACATGTGCAAAGGCTAAACATTTGTTTTGGACGAAATGTACGGAAACTAAAAATGTTTTTATACGTTTTGTCAAATAAAAAAACAAACTTTTATGGTATTTTGGATTTGGCAACCAGCACATTCTGCGCATGCGCATGGAGATGGGGGGCGTATGACGTCACATACCACACATGTCTGCTGGGGGGCACAATTTTATGTTCTTGCCTTAGACGCAAAAGGAACTAGCTAAGCAGCTTTTGCCTCAGGTGGCATCTTTGGGTAAAGTGGGCAGAGCACAATGTTTGCAGTGTGCCTGCCCCCCACCCCCTTCCTTTCTGGACAGAGTGTCCCAGGTTGCTAGAGCCAGGCGGGGGGCTGTGTAACGGCCACCCACATGTTATATGACAGCTCTTAGCTACCAGGGATACTCTGGCCGGCGTCCCGCTCAGCTTCTGGCAACCAGTGATGTCACTGGTTGCCAGATGATGCAGAGGCCACACCCCCTACCTCCAGCTCCCCGCCCCTCATCAGCCACCTTAGCAGTGAAAAGGCTAGGGACACCCCTGGTTACCAGGACAGAAAGTGATAAGAAATCCAAAATAGAGTTGTCACCAGGGGACATCTTTCAATGGGAGCGCTGCCTGCTGTGTCTACAGGACAGTTAGGGCAAATCTTCACAATGGGACACAGGGGAAAAAAATCAAGACAGCGGTTTCAAACTTTCCTAAAAAAATTAGTTTTGGCATTGCATGCCTTCAGGCTCCATCTCCCTGATTGTGGAGTAGATTGTACACAGCAGATAGGAGGGTCACTGGTTTGATTCATTCGGTTGTGTGTATGGATTGGAGTTTAAGCTATTGAGCACTGTATACAACAGGCTTTTTCAGCAAAGCAGACAACACTAGCCAAATATATGAAAAGGAGTCCAGAGCGCCACCTGCTAGGTTCGACTTGTAAAACATAAAAAAAGAAAGTGCAATATTTGATATTTACTTCACCAATAATAAAGAAGTAAAACATTGGATAAGGGGGCAGCCAGACGCTGCCCTCCCCCCCACTACCTGATTGAGTAAGGGGTCGTTGTTACCCTACTCATTCTCTAAGTAAACACAAATAGTAAATATATATTGTTTTAAACAATAAAAAGTTCCACGATGTGGTCCGTGGAAAAGTGCTGCATTACATTGGTAGTAAGCGGAGAAGGGCCCCATTATATTGGTGGTTAATGCGGTGCCCCCCTTCCTCTAGTAGTCATTGGCGGAGTGCTCCCTTTCATTGAGGTCAGTGTTGACGTGCCCCATTACATTGGTGGTTAATGTGGAGCCCCCTTCTATTAGTGGTCATTGTAGAAGTGTTGCTTTTATTGGTGATCAGTGGAAGGGAGGTGGCCCTTAAATTGGTTTATTAGTGGGCAGAGAAAAAGGGTTCCTTACATTGGTGGTCAGTAGAGAAATGCCCCATTACATTGTTGGTCAGTGGAGAAATGCCCCATTACATTAGTGGTCATTGGAGAAGTGCCCCGTTATATTGGTGGTCAGTAAAGAAGTGCTCCATTACATTGGTGGTCATTGGAGAAGTGCCCCGTTATATTGGTGGTCAGTAAAGAAGTGCTCCATTACATTGGTGGTCATTGGAGAAGTGCCCCGTTATATTGGTGGTCAGTAAAGAAGTGCTCCATTACATTGGTGGTCATTGGAGAAGTGCCCCGTTATATTGGTGGTCAGTAAAGAAGTGCTCCATTACATTGGTGGTCATTGGAGAAGTGCCCCGTTATATTGGTGGTCAGTAAAGAAGTGCTCCATTACATTGGTGGTCATTGGAGAAGTGCCCCGTTATATTGGTGGTCAGTAAAGAAGTGCTCCATTACATTGGTGGTCATTGGAGAAGTGCCCCGTTATATTGGTGGTCAGTAAAGAAGTGCTCCATTACATTGGTGGTCATTGGAGAAGTGCCCCGTTATATTGGTGGTCAGTAAAGAAGTGCTCCATTACATTGGTGGTCATTGGAGAAGTGCCCCGTTATATTGGTGGTCAGTAAAGAAGTGCTCCATTACATTGGTGGTCATTGGAGAAGTGCCCCGTTATATTGGTGGTCAGTAAAGAAGTGCTCCATTACATTGGTGGTCATTGGAGAAGTGCCCCGTTATATTGGTGGTCAGTAAAGAAGTGCTCCATTACATTGGTGGTCATTGGAGAAGTGCCCCGTTATATTGGTGGTCAGTAAAGAAGTGCTCCATTACATTGGTGGTCATTGGAGAAGTGCCCCGTTATATTGGTGGTCAGTAAAGAAGTGCTCCATTACATTGGTGGTCATTGGAGAAGTGCCCCGTTATATTGGTGGTCAGTAAAGAAGTGCTCCATTACA